TATTAAAACACAAGACAAAGATGTTGCGAAAAAATATAAAATGATAAAAATTATGAAATTTAAAAGATATGAAGATGGCTGAAATTTAAAAGATGTGAAAAAACCGCAAAAACGCAACAAGCACACGTAAACTCGTTAAGGTACTTAGCCCTGGAAAAAGGCATTTACCTCAGCATGGAAAAAGATGCCTACATTAGCGCCGAAAAATCTGTACTTATTTCACCGTGGAAATGTTTCGAACTCTGAATATAGCGGCACAGTGTTAAAGGAAACTTATGCTCCTCTTTTGGGGGAAAGTTTTAAATTACCTGATGGATGAGACTGCTGCTTCCGTTCAAAGCGTACACCAACGGATCCATCAATAACGGTAGATATGGTAGCAGTGATGAAAGCCTAAATAAACCACTAAAAAAAAACTAGTATTATACACATATAATATGTCAATACATATATGAGCTATTTTCATTTTAAATCACTTTAATATCACTAAAAAGCGAGTAAAAAACGTGAATATCCCAACATTCCTTTAAAAAAGCAAGGAGTTTAATCAGAAAACCCATCAAAGACCAAGCTCCTAAGACGTAACGCAAGTTAAAAATTAAAAATTCTTCCGTATTTGCTTTCTGTGAGAGGCGGAGGCACTTGAAAGTAACCCGAATGGCAACACATGCCAAAATTAAGTACCCATTAGTGAAGTTATCGATATCTGTTTTATCCGACAGTTAAATGCAAAAAAAAAAAAAAAACTAATTGCTAAAGACATAACAATATATGCAAAAATAGGCGCTGACCTGACGGGTACAGTTAGGCATAGTTCAATGAATAATTCGCGCATTTGCGTTCGATGTGTGCTGGACTGTAGGCGATTCAGCTGATGCAGAAGTGTTGGAAGCAGCGGAAGAAACGTTTGATACAACAGATCGTAGCTGCCACCACCGATTGAACTGGAAAATCTTCAGTACTATTGTCAAACCGTACCCAGAACATGCTCAGATGAAGAACTGATTCCTGGATGATGCATTCATACGCACACCCACACACACACATATACTAATAGGCAAGATGGAAGGGCGTAAAACCGAAGAATGTAAAAGAAGCCCTATTCCTTTTCCAAAGAGAGGTTTGACATTGTGTGGACCGGAAAAAAGGACGATGAAAAGGAGGATAATAAA